CCCTCTCTCAAAATAAATTAATTAAAAAAAAAAAAGAATCAGGTTCCCTGTCTTCATGGCATTTGTTGTCTAATGAGAAATAAAGAGAAGCACATAGGTGATTGCAATACAATGTAAAGTCCTGTGATAGAGAAAGTTCAGATGGTCTGGGAACGAAGAATAGGGGCAACTTGTCTAGAGTTGCTGGCATGGGCATGGCCAGGAAAGCCTCGCAGGAAAAGTAATTGCATAGCTGACATGTGAAGGACAAGCAGGAGTTAGGTGGAGGGGATGTTGGTTGTCATTTTGTTGATCAGCACCTGTTCCTACATTTTTGGGTACAGCTCCCTGATTTCCCTTTGGGCAACTACCTCCCCCCACCCCCACACTTTCCAACCATGTGGTGTGGACAGGGCTGATGTCAATTCCACACTCCAGGGTTCAGAGCATAGTTCAGATCCCATCCATCAGAGCAATTCATGCCTCTGGTCCTCATGATTGGTTTAGTTATTTGCATGTAACCTAAACAAGGCCAGTGAGACTGATTCCAAGGGCACATGCCCAAAACCATTTGTGGAGAGGCCCCTTTGATGCACTGGAATTGCCAAGCTAGCAGAATGTAAGGCTGGAGATTTGCAAACGTGGATACAACATCACATCTGTATCTGAGGTGTAGGAGAAGGAGTGAGGACGTACCTGTCTTTTTTTTTACCATGAAAGCAAAAGCTTTTTCAGACGCCCAATTGCAGATTTTCTTTTGGTCTCACCGGCCAGAACTTGGTCATGTGCTCAACCCTACTTTCAGGGGATGCTGGGAAAACAAAGAACAGGATTTTCAGAATTGGCTTAGACCAATCATGGTCCAAGTGCTGGGTAGAATGCTTTACTCGCCAAAAAAAACAACACCAAAAAAACCCCAAACAAATAAAAAAGTCAGGAGCAGGAAATGCATATTGAAAGGAACTAACTGAAGCAGCCACCATGTATGAAGATATTTTTTTAATTTATGATCTATGCGTTAGTTCCCTAGGGCTGCCATAAGAAAATACCACAGACTGGGAGGCTTAAACAACAGACATTTATTCTCTCACAGTTCTGGAGGCTGGAAATCAGAGATTAAGGTGTCAGTATGTTTGGTTTCTTCTGAGGTCTCCTTCCTTGACAGATGGCCACCTTCTCTCTGTGTCCTCACATGGTCTTTCTTCCATGTGTGCAAATCCCTGGTGTCTCTTTGTGTCTCCAAGTCTCCTCTTCTCATAAGGACATGAGTCACATTGGATTAGAGCCACCCTGATTCTGAAATTAATCATCTCTCTTTTATTTTTTAATGTTTATTTATTTTATATTTTATTTTTTATTTTATTTTATTTTTTTTAAGGTTTATTTATTTTTATTTATTTATTTTAACGTTTATTTATTTTTGAGACAGAGAGAGACAGAGAGAGACAGAGCATGAATGGTGGAAGGGCAGGGAAAGAGGGAGACACAGAATCAGAAGCAGGCTCCAGGCTCTGAGCCATCAGCCCAGAGCCTGACGCGGGGCTCGAACTCACCTACCGCGAGATCATGACCTGGGTGAAGTCGGATGCTTAACCGACTGAGCCACCCAGGCGCCCCAAGGTTTATTTATTTTTAAAACAGAGAGAGACAGAGCATCAGGGGAGGGTCAGAGAGAGGGAGACACAGAATCTGAAACAGGCTCCAGGCTCTGAGCTGTCAGCACAGAGCCTGATACGGGGCTCAAACTCACGGACCGCAAGATCATGACCTGAGCCGAAGTCGGCCGCTTAACCGACTGAGCCACCCAGGCGCCCCAATGTTTATTTATTTTTGAGAGAGACAGAACATGAGCAGGGGGAGGGCAGAGAGAGAGAGGGAGACACAGACTCTGAAAGAGGTTCTAGGCTCTGAGCTCTCAGCACAGAACCTGACGTGGGGCTCGAACCCACAAACTGTGAGATCATGACCTGACTGTAGTCGGTCACTTAACCAACTGAGCCACCCAGCCTTCCTAAATTAATCATCCCTTTAAAGGCCTCTGTCCAGGGGCACCTGGGTGGCTCAGTTCAATAAGTGTCCATCTCTTGATTTTGGCTCAGGTCATGATCTCAAGGTTTGTGAGGTTGAGCCCTGCACTGTCAGTGCACAGTCTACTTGGGATTCTTTCTCTCTCTCTCTCTCTCTCTCTCTCTCTCTCTCTCTCTCTCCCCCTCTCCTGCTCACGTTCTCTCTCTCTCAAAATAAATAAATGAACATTAAAAATAAATAAATAAATAAAATAAAGGCCTTTGTCCAAATATAGTCACATTTTCAGGTACTGGGGGTTAAGGACATACGAATTTTGGGGGGACACAATTCAGCCCATAACAATCTATAACAATAAGTTGGCCCGAGAAAGTTTATAAAATGTATTTCTATTAGCTGTGGGGGAGAAAATTTTCCTCTCTCACTACATCTTTAAAACATTAAGAATGACAATTTTAGGGGTGCCTGGGTGGCTCAGTTAAGCATCCTACATCAGCTCAGGTCATGATCTCACGGTTCGTGAGTTTGAGCCCTACACAGGCTCTGTGCTGACAGCTCAGAGCCTGAAGCCTGCTTCAAGTTCTGTGTCTCCCTCTCTCTGCCCCTTCCTTGCTCACACTCTGTCTCTCTTTCTAAAAAAAAAAATGAACATTACAAAAAATTGAGTAAAAAAAGAGTGATCATTTAAAAAATTTTTTTTTCAACGTTTTTTATTTTTTATTTTTGGGACAGAGAGAGACAGAGCATGAACGGGGGAGGGGCAGAGAGAGAGGGAGACACAGAATCGGAAACAGGCTCCAGGATCCGAGCCATCAGCCCAGAGCCTGACGCGGGGCTCGAACTCACGGACCGCGAGATCATGACCTGGCTGAAGTCGGACGCTTAACCGACTGCGCCACCCAGGCGCCCCTGATCATTTTAAAAATCACTTTAAATTCATCTGAGGAAGAGATTTGCTGTTGTGATTTGCATTCCTTTGATGAGTAGTGAAGGTAAACACTTTTCTGGTGTATTTTTCTCACAGAATTTCCATCTTGTATCGTACCAGATGCCTCTCAGCCTCACTCTGACTTCAGATGTGGGAGTTGTAAGCAAGGGACTAATTCACCTGGCACTCAGTACCCGCTGTGGTCCTGTTCCCAGCAGTCCTCTCAGTGTGTTGGTGGGATTCTTTTCTTCTCTTCTCTGAGCCTGCCCAGCTCAGAAGTGTGGGGCATTTAGCAGCCCCAGGACAACTTTCAACCAATGGGCTATGGGAGACGGTGAGCGGGTGCTTTTCCCCAGCCATCCTTGGGTGGGTGATTCTGCATGTTCTCTGTACTCCTAAGAATATCCCAGTGGGATCCAGCCTCAGTTGCCCAAGGTGGTGGCCAAGTCAACCACACATCATTGTATTAGCTTTTCCTCCTCCCCCAGTTCAATCTGCTCAGCTCCTCACTTCTCTTTTCTGCGTTCATCCCCCCTCTCCCAAATAAATTATTTGGGGACACAAAATTCCCATTCCTGCCTCTGTTTTAAGAGGCTAAGGCAACTGTAAACCGTTCTTTGGATGTACCTTTTTGGTTTTGTCATTGTTTTCATTGTTTTCCATGAATGTTTTATATAGAAAAGATATTAACTTTTTGGGACAATGTCAACAGAGTTGATAAGGGAAAATATTATATCCCTCAAACTCTATGCCACACCAAGCCATACTTGAGATCAAGAGAATATATTCTTGTATTTGTCTTCATACTTTACAAATGCAATGTTTAGCAGGATCCATTTCATATTATTGTCTGCAACACAGTTTTTAATTTGGAAATCATATTTATACTTCCATACCTATATCAGGTGGTTCCCTTTTTACTCCTGTCTGTTTTAGATTTAGAAGTAGAGCACCCCTCTGAGTTGTGTTTAGAACATGAACAAAATAGTTTCTACATGTGTCTGTTTCTCACGGTTTGTGTGTTTTAGGGGGAAAGCCATCTTAACTCTCCTGTGAGCTCCATTTCCTTTGAAACACAGCTTTGATTTTGCTCTGCTTCAGTGTTTTCACTTATTGTTCCTCGTGAATGAAGGTCTATGCTTTCCAGAATTAGCTTATAACCCAAGAAGAGTAGAGATGCACCTGTCAAAACTGCTGGGTTCTTGCCCAAACCTTTAGAGGCCTGCAGGCTCAAATAATTTGGAGATTCCTGGAGACATCATCTGATGTGCCCTTCAGTCAGTCTTGAGGTGGGAAGTTCTAAGCCACTTTACATTGAATTCAAACATAGCAGGCCAAGAAGAAGGAGGTAAGATGGGGAACAGTTTATACATAGGGAGAACAGAGGGGAGGTAGGAAAGGGAAGCTTTGCAGAAACTCCCGAGCTAACCAGTACCCAGCCATACAGACACTGAATATAACTCCTGTGTCAAAAGCAAGGATTTAATTACTGGAGATAGGACTGGACAGAGGCAATACTGCAGCTAGATTAATTACCCCTACTTATAAAAGTCAAGGGAAGAATAACATTATTTTACCCTCTCAGATTATCTTTGTTTAAAACTTAGTCTAGTCAATTTCATTTGAAAATAATTAGCAAACATCTGGTGTTCTGTGGCTATTTCCCTCCCCATGATATAGATTCTTCTCACTTGGGTGAGCATTAATGGCATTTCCCTGCAGTGACTCTGCTCCTTTTCTGAGGAAGATTTCTGTAAGTGGAAACCACAGCTGAATTGGGTGCTGTTTCTTGTACAGTAGGGTGATCTATCGTGTTCATCTGGAGCTACAGTCATAAAGTTGTGGGTTCATTACGCCATTTTAACTGCCGCTGATCATGATAACTGCAAGTGTGACTCTGCAAATGCATTCAACCATTTTAAGGACGTAACAAGAAGGTAATCAATCCTCTATTCAATTTTGTCATTTCTTTTTTATAACTTTAACTCTCCTCTTTGATAAACACCTAGATATTAGCGTTTTGGGGCTGAAGCAGGATATACTAAATCAGAGATCCCAAAACTATATGACACAGACCATGTTTATTATGCACAAAGCCACATAGAAAGTCCAGCTGGACAACTGACCTGAAGAATCTAAGTGAAGAGGCAGAGAGGTAACGAGGGTCACCAGAGCAAGACAATTAGGACACATGGTGGGGACTGCATCCGCATCTTGAGAGGTTTCCTGAGGCCCGGACTGCAGTCTCAGATCTTAGTCCCAGGACCTTAAACATGAGAAGGGACAGGAATATCAAGAGCTCCAATCCCAAGCAGACATTCCCCTTCCTTCATGGTTCCTTCCTTGGGAAAAACGACACAGTATATATGAGCTAAGAAGAAAAGAGCAGGATTAATAGATGTTACCATTACCTGGTAGGAGTTAATAACTGTAATTGAGCAAAGAGTTTGGCTTAAATCATTGGTAGCTAAAACAAAAAGACAATATAACCATTGTTGTTTGGGGTGGGGGACACAAAAGATCTCTAAGCTTGTCTGTGGTGACTTTCCCCTTGTGATTATATTTGTTTGTGGGAATCTTATGTGGCACATTTAGCAATGCAGTGGAAAATATCGTTCTTTGTGAATCTGAAATGCTTTCTTCAGATCCTGAAATCTCTCAGGCCACTGTCTCACTGAACGTCACCTGCTGGCAGTGAGGAATCTTGAGTAGTCCAGATTGAGATTTTACATTTGTTTCTGCAAAGGGTGATTATAGGCCCGGACTAATGTTTTAATCTAAGTTTTTAGTTGAAAGTGTCCAGACTACAGAGGTGGCATACATTTGAACCAGGTAAGGTCCACATCACTGGTTACTAATGCTTAGGGCAGACTTCTTTCCAGTCAGAAGCAGGCCTAAGATAGATGCTTCTAGTCACTGAGTTATGTTAATGATACTCTTTGACTACAGAAACAGTAGTGTCAGGCAGTGGTTGAAGTTGTGGAATGGAATCACGCAGGGAGCAGTTGTCACTAGAGAGTTCCCTGCATTCACGGTCGTAAGATCCCGCCCCCCCCCCCCCCAACAACAGAAATGGGACATGTCAGCAAGCACAAAGCTCAAAGGAGCAGCCTGAGCTGAGACACGGGGGCAGCACCCAATAAAACCAGACCCCCCAAAACTTGACTTTGTTAGGCCTTTCAGTTCTTTGTCTCAACTCATCACTCACTCGTCTGACTCACCTGCTTCTGATGATATTGGCTTCTGACACGGAATGATTTCTCTTTTCTTTCTTGAATGATTTCTTATACCTGGTTTTGCCTCATGTCTCTGTTCTGATGTTTGTCTCTGCATCTCTTGCCCTGAGTTCTGGATTCTTTTCTTGATTGCAATTTGCATTTGCTGATTGAGGTAGGCACTTCAGTCAGTCCAACACAGTCCCAAAGACCCTTGCACATAGGTGGTGGCTGTTAAGTCCATTATTCCTGCTAATCCACCTGCAGAATCACGCAACGAATCAACCCAAGCTGGGAAGGGTGGGGCTCCGCTCTGGAGGGGTTCCTTGAGAGAAAGGCAGGTCTGTGGAGTGAAAACTTGATCTGGTAAGAAGGCTGGTCCTGTGGATGGGATTCAAGGAGAGAGATCACAGAGAAGGGAAAAAAAGTTAAATTTGGGGTACACAAGGATACCCCTGAATTCTTCCTGAACGTGGCAGATTCTTCTATAAAAGAGACAAAGCAGAGCAAGAGCCCACTAATCCTGTCTGGGATCCTACATCCTGGCGTAAAGGAACCTGACAATTCTAAGTTTCATCAACGGTAAGTTGAACCATAGGATCCAGCAATTCCACTGGGTATATGCTCCCCCAAAAATGAAAAGCAGGGACTCAAATAGGTGTTTCTAGACCCGTGTTCATAGCATAGCAGTATTATTCACAAAAGGTGGAAGCAACCTAGTATCCATCAACAAATGAATGGATAAACAAAAGGTGCCGAATACATACAATGGAACATTATTCAGTCTTAAATAGGAAGGAAATTTCGACATGTTCTACAAGATGGATGAACTTTGAACATATTATTTTAAGTGAGCTAAACCAGTTATGAAAGGACACATGCTAAATGATTCCACTTACATAAGGTACCTAGAATAGTCACATTCAGCGGGACAGAAAGTAGAAGAGTTGTTGCCAGGGGCTGCGAGGAGGGGGAATAGAAAGTTATTGTTTAGGGGCGCCTGGGTGGCTCAGTCGGTTAAGCGTTCAACTTCAGCTCAGGTCATGATCTCATGGTTCGTGAGTTTGAGCCCCACATTGGGCTCTGTCCTGAAAGCTCAGAACCTGGAGACTGCTTCGGATTCTGTGCCTCCCTCCCTCTCTGCTCCTCTGCAGTTCATGCTCTGTCTCCACCTCTCTCTCTCTCTCTCTCAAAAATAAAAAATTAAAAAAAAAGGAAGTTATTGTTTAGGGTCACCTGGGTGGCTCAGTTGGTTAAGCGGCTATCATCTTCTCAGGTCATGATCTCATGGTTCATGAGTTTGAGCCCGGCCTCCGGCTCTGTGGTGACCACACAGAGTCTTCTTGGGATTCTCTCTTTCTCTCTCTCTGCTCCTCCCCTACTTGTTCTTTCTCTCTTTCTCAAAGTAAATAAATAAACTTAAAACAAAAAAGAAAGTTATTGTTTAATGGGTACAGAGTTTCAGTGAGAGCAGATTAAAAATTCTTGGAGATACATGGTGGTGACGATTATGCAGCACTGTGACTGTACTGAAAGCCACTGACCCATACACTTGCAAATGGTTAAACTGATAAATTTTATATTATGCAAATTGTAGCACATTAAAAAAAAAAAGAGTGAAGAAAGAAAAAAAAGTGACTTGGGACTGGTGGGGTGTGGGAGGAGTGACTGCAGAGATGTTAATATCCACCCCATCCCCTAAAGGAAAAAAGATCATCCCTGAGAGTGTAGACAGAAGCTGTTGTTGAATCGAGTTGTGACGGGCAAAAGAAGACAGAGGTAAGTTAACAGGGTTCAGTTCCTCATAAATATTGGCTCAAACTACCAGCCATAGGTGCAAGGGTTCCACAAATAATCTAAAGTTATTGTATTGAGTAGAGCACCCTATCTGATCTGTTCGAATGCCTGCTAACATGCTTACCACACATACACAGACACACACACACACACACAGACATTACATGCATACTGTTCCTACCTAATTGTGCAATCCTAATAGCCCCGGGAATTTGCACCTAGTACAGCCTTCGCTCATTTAGCCTTGTCCTTGAGGACAAGGACATGCCCTATTGAATGCCCTCAGGTATGATGTGTGAGTGGACAAGTCAATGGGAGAAGCAACACTAGAAGCAATCAAGAGTGGCCAGGGCCAATGCAAGCTCATTGCACTCAGCCTCAGCACCTCCTTAAGCCTGTGTTCAGTGGTCTCCAAATAGGCAAGGTGCAACATTAGACTTTGGTCTCCAAATTTAGCTAATATCTGCTCTTTGCTTTGACTTCAGCCTCAGCCTTTGGAAGGCCAAATAACTGAATGCCTAACTGTAGTGTCATTCCTGGTGTCTCTGAAATGATGTGTGTGTGATCAGTGACCGTGAGATTGGGTAAGTTACCCTTGGGTCTAATCCATGAATCAACATCAGTTGCATAAACAGGGGCATGTCATTTAGATGGCTTGTGATTGTCAGAATATTCACTTTCACATACAAGTAAAGCATTTTAGATGTAAGTGCGATTAAAATTTCCTTGTGTGTTTTGGTTTCTGAGATTCTTTGTGATTCAGTTGAAGTATAAATATTTATTTATGAGTTCAGAGGATGCTGCTGTAATAATGAATGGTGACTGTGAACAACATGTTCATTTTACACATAAAATAAGGGTTTTTCAAATAGTTAAGTATTTAGTTCATGGGATTAACTTACTGAGATTGCTTCATCATCCTTGACTAAATTCTGCAGGAGCTGAAGAGGAAGGAAAGCTTCACTTCTGTCATCACTGTAAGAAAATAGATAAAGTTGGACACCTTGTCATGCCACCTAGAATTGTTGCCTAAACTGGCAGAATTAGCCACCAAGATCTTTGTTCCTCTACTCACTTCGGCTGAAAATAAACATCTGTTCACAGCCCAGATGTGCAGTTTAGGGACCACACATCTGTGCTGAGAAATTGCTTTTCCCACACTAGGTCCTACACCCTTAACGGTTGACTCCTGAAAGTTTGAACCATTACAAATTTTATAAGATTTGATTGTAACATATTATTCTGTGATATCCATTCTGTGATGATTAGGTTGACCAGCATATGCTGGTTTTCCTGCAAATGAGGGTGTTCCCGGGCGGGGGATTTGTGTGCTAACATCAGGAAAGTCCAGGGCCCTCTGGAATGAGTTGGTCACCCTAATGATGGTGATGCAGCCTCAGCTTTGGATTAGAGTTCATATTGCCTTTAACATTTAGCCTAAGGTCTGTATTTGATGTAGAGCCATATCTAGCCATATCTAGTGCAATGCTGACTACCTGTCCAGCACAGAAGAATACAGGAGCACAGAATGACAGGTCTGGAGGGAAAGTGTAAGGCTGTTTAGTGACCCATCAGACTTGAGGTAGTGTACTCAAACTCCTAGCACCTCATGGATGGACCCAAAATTCTGGGCCCCCAGAATGAGCCCTGGTATCCATGTACTTCTCATGTTCAATACTCTATCCTCTTTATAGTTGCTATTGTTGACTTCCCTACAGTACAAGGTATCTGCTTACGTTTTTACTTCTCAGACTGCCTGGTATTCCAGTTTTTATTTGCTAGGCCCTATTCCTGGTCTGAGTCCTTTACATAAATGTTTTTGTTAGTTGAAGACAAGTCAGTATATTGCTTTTGAGTTTGTAAACATTGCCTAGATTAATGAACCAGGACCGTTACTCTGTTTTCTCAGTGTGCTGGGACATAGTGCAACTGATCAGTAGGTGTGTTCCTGTCATTGAACTGGTTTCCTCTTTTTTTTTTTAATGTTTATATGTTTTTGAGAGAGAGAGAGAATGAATTGGGGAGGGGCAGAGAGAGAGAGTGAGGCAGAATCCCAAGCAGATTCCTCACTGTCCGTGCAGAGTCTGATGTGGGCTCAAACTCACAAACCATGAGATCATAACATGAGCCGAAATCAAGAGAATGCTTAACAGACTGAGCTACCCAGGTGCCCCTGAAATGGCTTCTTATTTATATAAAAGGTTATTTGGTTAAAACTCAACCAATTTGTGGAAGAAAAAAAAAAGGCTGGCCAAAAGTTCAATAAGACGATTAGTCTATATTTTGGGGATTTATTTTTATTTTTTTTAAATCTTTTTTAATGTTTTATTTATTTTTGAGACAGGGAGAGACAGAGCACGAACAGGGGAGGGTCAGAGAGAGGGAGACACAGAATCTGAAACAGGCTCCAGGCTCTGAGCTGTCAGCACAGAGCCCGACGCAGGGCTCGAACTCACGGACCGCAAGATCATGACCTGAGCCGAAGTCGGCCACTTAACCGACTGAGCCACCCAGGCACCCCTATATTTTGGGGATTTAAAAAGAATTTTCTTTCTAAAAAGGAAGAGGTGGAGGGGATTAGGGTAAATAGCCACGAATTATTATGATAATTTTCTTAGTGCTTGTATTAATCCAGTCAGTCCTCACAATGGCTTTGCCAGTTAGGTCCTGTATATTGTTAGACTATCACTGGCACTGGTTAGGAGACTTGAGACCACAGTCACAAAGCTAGGAATTGGTAGAGGCATAATTTGAACCCAGGTGCTCAAAGCTTCCCTACACTCTTGTATTTTTCATGATGGATACAACACGGTCTTTAATATTTCTATAGTACAATTCTATAGCTATATTGTGAAATATTTTTGAAATTGTAACTTTTATTTAAACTTCATTTTTTCATTACTTAGAAACTAATTTTACTCATCCAGTTCATTCCAAATAAAAGTTACCCATTATTATAGAATAATCTTGAAAAGTTTATGAAAAGTATGAGATCCAGCAACCAGCTACTTATGATTTGAATCAATGTTAGTGTTCTTTCAGTGGTAAAGAAACATACAACACATCCTATACAGAGGGGTGAGATGGGGTAGGAAAATGACAGAGGTGGTATGAGAAAGTGGAAACGAAGGCATCTCGGGGCTATTTGCTTAGAACATTTTTTCATCTAAAAAAAAAGAGAGAAGAAAAAATTATAATCATATTTTAAAATGGCTCTTTACCCATATTATAACAATGACTAGAAACTTTCCATCTGAATTGAAGTCACAGCCTTATAAGTAGTCACTCTCAAAATCATCTGCCTGTTACTCTAGAGCCAAAGACACAATAGCCTCTCAGGTCCCTAGAATTTTCTGATTCTGAATCAGTCCCTTTCACTGCTTGTCTGTATTTTCTTCTGCCCCAAACAGTGAAGAGATGCAAATATCCAAAAGGCTATTTTCCATGCTTGTTGGGGTAATAGCTAGCCCATAAGATGCTAACCTACACAATGCTATTATTGGTCATAAATAGATCAAGATGACTTACCACCGTGAAAATTCATAGTAATATCTCTAACTATATTAGAACCTGCTTGAGATGTA